CTGATTTCAATAGTTGCACATATTTAATAAATAAGACAACCAATAATCACTGAATCCCTCTGAGTGACAAAGAGCACTAATCTGATAACATGAATGACATTTTCAGTGAGTTGATGAATTTAAAGTATTTATTAGTGGACCAATCTCACCACATCTTTACTCTTACACATTCAGCACAGTACAGACAAGAAGTGTCAGACTACTTTGTATATTATCATTTGTGTGTTTACCTGAGTGCTGTGCATCAGGCTGGCTGGGGGTGAGAGGAGAGATGGCAGGTGTTCCTGGGGTGATGGCAGCAGTGGTCTTTTGAGGCGGGGTCAGGTGAACTGGCTTCATATTAGGAGCTGTCGGCGCAGCCTCTCTTAGAGGTTTCTGATTTGTGGGGGGAGAGGGCAACAGTGTGGGCTGGGGCAGTTCTCGCTCCTTGATCGGGTCAGACTCAGCTGGGACGTTGGATTTTCCACCGAGGGCGACAGGAGGCGGGATCTCCTCCTCATTGACAGGCTTTCCTTTCCTGACAGATGTCAACATGGACTGCAGTGTCTAAGGTTGAATCAATAACATATGTTTTCAACATTACAGAGGACAAACTGGCAAACAGTATTAAGTCTTAGAATCATATAAAAGACGTTCAATAAAACATTTCAAAAGATGAGAATGAGGGCAAAGTATGGCAATCAACTTGAAGTTGTTTAGTCTACCATTTACCTTCAACCCACGGTCGTATCTTCGAACTTTGCTAGTCTCTCCCGCAGCCTTGCCGTTAGAAATGGCAGTCTTATACATTTCAATGCGCTCCAAAAGGATGGACTCCATCCCAGTTGCACCACTGGGAGCAGCAGGAGGAGCAGAGTGGGATGTGACGCTGACTTTGGGAGCAGTCGGAGTGACAGCAGGAGGTGTGGGAGCAGGAGTTTGTTCCTCATCATCCTCTAAAACCTCATTCAGTTCGGCCTACACACACAGACACAGATATGTACACAGTTCAGAAGAAAATCCTCAACAGATGAGCTTCACCATTATATTCTAAAGGAATCAGAAATTAAGATATATTTCTTTTATTATCAGGTAATCTGTTCACCAATTTTCCAAGTAATCATTTAATTTGTGAGATGTTAAAAACATAATGACGTTGTGGCCTAATAATTCATTAATTTCTCAGCCCCTAAGATGATGTCTTGAAATTGTTTTATTGAACCAACCCATTCAGTTTGTTAAGAAGTAAGTTATAAGAAAAACAGCTAATTCAGCACATTGTCAAAACAGTTCAAAATAATTTCCTGTCGACTATTTAATGAAACTGATTGTTTCAGCTCTAACAGAGACACAAAACGGAGCGAGTGTGTTACCAGCAGATCATCATCATCCAAATCGTCATCCCCAATGTCCTCATCATCCAGGTCTTTCATACAAAGAGCTGCCATTCGCTCTATTTCAGCCATGGGAACAGGAGCTGAACATGGACAGAGACATACATCACAAACAGCACTGAATCCTGAACAACATTCAGATGGAAGCACGAGCATATGGACGGGACAGAGAGAGGACTGAACTGTGCTTTACGCTGGTAGATATCTACGCATCAGATAGTGGAAAGGAACTACTTTCTCACCTTTGCCCTCACCTTTCTTCCCTTGCGATCTCCCACCTCCTCCACCTCCTCCCACCAGATTCATCAGCTCTGCCTCCAGCTCTTCATCATTGCCCTCATCATTCATCCCTCCACCCGGGGACAGGTCCAGGAGCAGCCCCATCTGAGACACAGTGAGACAGACACAGAGCAGGGAGAGAGCTGCAGAATCACACCTGTAGTCGACACACAGCACTGTTCATTCACACATGAGGAGTGTTACCTGTTGGGCTCGCGCTGCCCCTTGACCCCGGGGAGGGGGGTTTCGACTGCGACTCATGGACCGTTACCACCGTTACCACCGTTACCACCGTTACCTATAACGAGGACAGAGGTGATGTCGATGACTGATATATCCAGTGCTCGCTGCTCTGCACCTGTACAGCCGCTTTGTGTAACGACATGAACACTTCACTGTTTGTGTCGAGTCAGCCTCTGTACTCAGGTTAGCTAACAGCTAGCACAACAGTTAATTCAATTCTTACACAGCTGATGAGTAACTGTTATATAACGTTATATATATATATGTATATATAAATATGTAACGTTATATTTACCTTGTCAGTTTCACGGACCGGAGGTTGTTATGTTACAGTTCTTCGGGTCGGTTGAACTGCTCAGAAACCAGAGGAGAGCAGCGGAGCACACAGAGGCAGTCAGTGTACTGAACATACACATGTAAACAGTATTGAACATACACATGTAAACAGTATTTAAGGTTTACTTGAAGATTCACAACAACAACAACAACAACAACGAGCTGTGGAATTTACTTCCTACACGGCGTCTCCAGTGGCAACGCACGGCGCGCTTTACGGCTAGACGGAACACGCCCATCACTAACGTAAAACACAGCCGTAGGTGAAGTCCCGGGTTCAGGTGTGTCGTCGTTGTTGTTGTTGTGTTGTTGTGTTGTTGTACCACCGTGTATATGAATAAAATATGAATCCACAGTTTGTCACTGTCTAGCAGTTCCTGGGAATTAACTTAATCAGCTTACATTAGTTATTTCATCATCAGCAGTACACTTGTACTTCTTCATTCAGTCAGTGTAACTTTGTTGGCGTTAGCTAGCTGCCTACTAACTACATTTACTGTTTTGAGAAAAAAAACTACTGTTTGTGGCTGTAAGCTGACCATCAAGATACAACCATAGGGCAGCTATAGGCTATATTATTTCCTACTACTATGTTGTCATGTCTGTCATTAAGTTAACTTCTTTTCATTCTGTAGGAAGAGGAGATGGCCAAAGGAAAAGCAAAGAAAAACAACAGTGGTAAAGGAAATGCTATTATCCCATAGTATGGGCTAACTTTGATGTGCTACTGTTGAAAAGAAATAATGATTGTTTCATGTTTTTGAAAGACCACAATTGCTTCACTATATCATTAATATAGTGAAGAGTTCCTCAGCTACAGTTAATCCCCATCTGAGTCTTTGATTAATTGAGTTGGTCCCTATCAGCTCCATCCCAGCCTCGGTCACTAAGGTCAAGGAAGAGGGATTGTCCAAGTGATGAAACTTCTGAGACTGATGCTACTCTCCACCACCAGGTAATTAAGGTAATTGAAACAGAACTTACTCATTATACTTATTTACAGCTCTTCCAGCAAAGTTGTTGACACGTTTTATTGTATGTCAGGACACAGAAGGAAGTAATACAGCAGTGGATGTCACAATGCTACAGTGCAACCAGTCTCCTCTGCAGGAATCTACTGTGATTTCTACTCAGCAGCATCAGGCAGAAGAACAGTCCTGTATCACAAAACAAGATCCTGCCACAGAAGAAAAACATGCAGAAGCAACAAATGTTAACTTAAGAAATGTTGTTGAAGAGCAAGAAGAGACTACTGTCACCAGACCCAACAATGATTCTCAGCTGGAAGGCTTTAGAGTACATACTGATAATGTCGACGACCAGGAGGAAATAACTGCAGAGGAAGGTAACAGATCACCACTTCAAACATGCACCGACCAACTCCAGGTCCTCTTGCCAACCTCTGAAGGGGCTGATGGATCCTGTGCAACTGCTCTGGAGGAGCAACTGGGTGCAAAGGAAAACTCTCAGTGTAATCTGGAAAGAAACCAAGAAACCAGCAACGTGTACATGGCTGACGTCAAGGAAGTCACAAAGGAGGCAGCAGTGGGGTTACCGGCCAAAAAGAAGCGAAGGATGGGCATGTGTGGTCTGACAGAGAAGGAGCGGAGTCACTTTCTACAGACACAGAAGCGTGAAAACGGGCTGAACACACCGGAGAGAGTTGAGTTGATTTGCAATAACACAGCTGGTCTTGTGCCTCAGGAAGAGATATCTTCACCCTCCTTATCATCCTCACTATCCATCCCAGCAAGCAGTGTCACAGAGCAGGAGGAATTGTTAAAACTTCCGTCCAGTCACTGTGGAGGAAATGACAGGTGAGAATAATGTAGTGAAGAACCCAAACTACATATTAAATATCTCACATTTTAGCTTCAAAGTTTCATTTTTGCATTATCCTGGCAACGACAAATAGTGGAAAGAGTTATGTCATGTGTTACTCAAGTTAGTCAAGTGAAATATACAAATGTACTTGATTATAATAACAATGGGAAATGTAATTTGGTGATAATAACATTGTGTGTTAACATACAGGGCAGAAACTGAAGACCACATGGCTGTCACTACCTCAGCTGGGACCAGTACTGAGTGTGATCCAGGCTGCTCAAAAGTAAAGAGTTGTGAGGCTGAAGGAGGCACAGTGCCTGGTGACACAGAGTCAGATCCACCTGCAGAGACGGAGCTTTTAGGGAATGAGGAGCAACAGGAACTCCAGCAGGGAGGTGCAGCTGAGACTGTAGCTGAAAAACCTCAAGAACAAACGAAAGAAGGGGAATATGGGTCAGCAGTAGTTGTCCAAAGTCCTGCCATCAGTTTATACTCTAATCCAACTCAAAGTGAGGGGACTGAGAACCAGGATGAAATTGAGGCTGCCCCTCTGCATGTGAATAATGTGACCAGGACCAGAGATGAGAAGAAGGAAGAGTTGGCCGATGATGCTGGAGACGGCAACAGAGCTGAAGCAGCTGCTTCATTCACAGACACCCAGTCAGGATTATTGAACTGTGGCTCTGGTGAGCTCTGCAAGGCTGCAGTGACACCTAGTGGCTCAGACAGGAAAGACAGTGTGAGTGGTTGTACCAGAATTTAAAATACCAGTTTAGTGAAGCTCATAACTCTTCTTCATAAAAGCAGTTTTTTGTTTTGCTTATAGTGTCATATAATACACACAATTGTGCAGTGTTTATGACTAACGCAGCAGGAAAAGAACTTCTGTGAATTAGTGCTGAAACAATTAATGAATTAGACGATCGACAGATGATGAATCATCAGCCCGACTGAGTAGTTGTTTCAGTCATATCATAAGAAAATACCAAATAATTGCTGCTTCACAGATGTGAGAGGTGCTCCTCCAAAACCAATTTTTAAAAAAAAGCTATTTGATGACGAAGCATTTTTAATATTTACACTATTTTTCACCAATGTACGTATATATACTGAAGGTTATTTCCTCTTATAACTACAGAAATGGTGTGATCCTGATGATGAACCTGGTCTTTCTACTCTGAACACTGAGCACCCTCAGACCATGGACGCCCCTGACCCGTTTGGATCCGGGTACCTGGATTACGTGTCGGACTCGCAGCTGAACACCATCTCTCTGGCGTAAGGAAGTAGGGAAGGGGGTTAAATCAAGAACCTTGACTGTGGTGAGAAGAAAGGGAAGGTCGGGGAAAAGTGAGCCTTTGTAGACTGGCTCTTCAGATAGACGCCCAGTGTAAACGAGCTCAGCGTTCAGCTCATTTGAGGCTTGGGAAACCCACCTAGACTTAAAACTTTGAAAGGAAGCAGGAGCTTATTTGACCCACTAAACATTGTAAACAAGGACAAAGGAATGTATTACATTTTATCAAGAAATCTGATTAATATGTAGTGAATTCAGATAATGTTAATATGATAATTGTGTTTCATTTCTTACTATATCTTCAAGAAGAAATTCCTATCTTCTATGTAATAGAAGTTAACATACCTTCTCATTTTAGTACTCAGATTACTTGAGTTACTTTCTCCCCATCCAGTGAAGAGGAGGTGATGGAGGGTGAGGAAGATCTTGGCTACCCAGACTGTCCTGATGCTACAGACCTGATCTGTGGGCTCATCAGAGAACTCTCCTCTGTAAAGTTAGTGAATGTTTCTCTTTTATCATTTTGTCTCCCTTTTTGCCATTTTGTCCTATTTTCCTAACCTCCCTATGCCTCCCGCTACTCCCTCTTCCCAGAGTTGAACTTTTGACTTGTCATATAATTGGTCAGTTTCATCCTCTTCACACCCACCCACTGTGCTCTAATTGGCTGAAGAGTGGCTTAGCTCTGTCAGCTGTAGACTGCTTGGCACCTTTTACAAGACCCTTGTCTGGTCAAGCCCTGAATGGTTAAGCTTTGACGTGCAACCAATCAAGATGACATACTCTGGGTTTAGTAGGAGCCTAAATACAACTTGCCATCCCTAGAGTTACACATTTGAAGCATAAAATACAAATCTACATGAGGAAAAATATGTAGGTGTCGGAAGGACATTTGGATGATCTGAGGGGCTGTTAGCAACAAAAATAGGAAAAACTGCAGCGTAATTTGTACAAACTTCTAAAAAGGTTGGGATAAAAACACTAATATTATACAAGATTTACAATTTTCAGTAAACTCAGCTGTACCCCCCTGTAAAACAGTGTTTCGGAGAGAGAAAGACTTTATGGAGATCAAACATACTTCTAATATTGGCGGAGGCATTTTGCAGTCATCTCTAAAAACCAGCCGCTTTTACCGGCACACACACCCTTCCCTACATCATTTATTCATCCTCTGTCACTCATTTATCTTTTACTTAACATCTTTAACCTGCTTAATCTGTTTTACCTGTTGACAAACTAAAATCTGGACAAAAATGAAGTGATTGAAACTGATAAACAAAGGGTGTCCTCTGGTTGTTCTCTTCTAGTCAGAAGGTCATGGCCACTCACAGAGAGCTGGAGAACCTGCGCCGCAGCGGCAAAGGTTCAAAGAGCTCCACGCGTTGAGGATTTGTTTCAGGTCCCTGCCACCCTGATCCTACTGTTGGTTTGTGGGTAATGAAGGCATTTCAAGTTTAAATACCAAACGATAGATTTATCTTCACTCTTGTGTCAATTGCAGTGTTCAGCTTAATGGTTTAGTTGTTCTTTAGTTGTTCTGGTTCTCCCCAAATAAAGCTGGTGTTCATCAAATCAGTCTTCTGAGTATTATTCTGTAAGTATTATTGAAAGTAAGTCTGTGCTGCATGACACACACGACCCGTCCGATAATTTAAAAGAATGGAGAGTGATGACAAAGAATACACAGATGTTGTCAATTTAGACATTTATAACTTTTGGCATACAAGAATATTCACACAAAAAGTTTCACACAATTTTTTTTTTTTCCCCCACAAAGTCAGAAGAGCTGAAATGGCATTTTAGAAGTGCCACATGCACAATGTTCAAACTAAAATAGCATGCCTCAAGAACAGGTATTTACACCTCGGAACAAGAACAAGTCACTCATATTTTTAAAAAATTTAAAATGCTGACATGGTCACATGATGTGTGCGTGCTGTAGTAAAGCTATTACTGATGACTGTACGTCTTATTAACGGTTGATAGTGTTATAATCCTGCAATGCATGGACAGGAGATATGGAACTGGACATCAGACGGCCACGTTTTAAAAATATGTAAAACAAACATACATTTTCCTTTGAAGCACTTTTTTTTTTTCTCTGCTCCCAAACACATATATACACACACACACACACACACACACATATATATCAGGCAGTCGTTCTTGTAAGTGGCCTACAAAAATCACCAAACGGACGCTGTTTGAGGAGGCTGGACAAAAAGAGCAGCTGGAAAATAACTCCAATCAGCACTATAGAAGGCTACTACAAACGTGCCAAAGCATGCTAATAAAAACCAAACCACACAAAAGCAAAAACACGCGTGCTAGTAAACAAAAAAATCACACTCACTAAAGGAGGACTCAGCCTTCTGTGTCTATTTGTACCGGCCACCTGCTGCTTGGCTCAGCGTCTGGACTTGGCGTACACGGAGCTGTATGCAAAATCCACCTTAGGGCAGAAGCGCTTGGTGTGAGCTCTGGCCCCCGTGGCTCCGCACAGAGGACACACATACTGCCGCAGATAGGGACACAGAACATCTCCGGCCTGGTTCTTCAGCCAGTGGGATCCGTACACCAGCTCGGACTCCCCGTTGTGCTTGCAGAAACTGCAGAACATGCGCTCGAGCGGCGGAGGTAAAGCTGGCGGATCCGGTGTTTTGAAGCGACAGCTCTTCTTGCGCTCTTTGGGCCCCCGGGAGCCCGTCGGTTTCAGCAGAGGCTTTGAATCCACCGCGTCTGCTGGCTCAGCGGCGCGAAAGAGGTCTGCGGTGTACCACGGAGCATCAGGCGGACGCCGATGAGCCAGAGAGCCTGGCGGTGCAGACACAGCGGGGAGATGTGGCACACAGTCTGCGCCGAGGTCGCCACTTTGGCAAACTGCGTTAATGCGCAAAGACTCCAGTGCCTCACAGAGGTCACCAGAATCTGAGTGCGGAGATTTGGAGACTGCCAGTGGGGACTCAGTGACGGTGTTCCGGCCCAGGATCTCTTTAATTGTGTCCGACAGTCCTATGTAGTCTCTCCAGGGCTGGAAACTTTTGCTGTCCGACTCCATGAAACACGGCAGGTGATGAAAGAGTCCCCAAACCATGCCGTTCATTCTAGCTCCTTCTCGGTAAACGTGTCCCTCTCCTCTTTCAGACTCAACGATGGAGTGGTTGACTTTGCAATAACGATATAATGGACGGTGGAATCGTGGCACTAAGTGCTCGTACCGAACTTTTGATTGGTAATTGAGTACAAGTGGTGATCAGAGGCCCACTGCCGGCAGCCAATCACAGGATGCGGACATGCATCGCGCGTGCAGGCCAGTGTTGGTCTCTCTCTTTCCTCCAATCAATCAAACCAGTTGCGTCAATCCATTTTTAGGATTTTACTTTAATACATCTCTCATAAATAATTGGTTTAACGAGATGAAGCGAGGTGATCATAGACTAAGCTGGCCAGTAAACACCAGCATTGTTAAGAATAGCTTGGACTCTTGTTTGTCTTGTTTGCGTCAAATTAATTTGAATTGATGTAACTGTGGTTTATCTTCAGGTGATGGTAAAAGGCAGATTTAAAGCAACAACCTTTACATTTGAATACAGCTACTACTTTAACTAAATGAATAAATGAGTGGGGAAACATAATACATGTAGATGCTTCCATACATACAGGTAATACATGGTCACCAACCACCAACAGCTTCCTATGACACGTTTCCTTCACCTATCTGTATGTCTGTTACACTACTGAGTTAATGTGGCCCATATGCAGTGCCCATGTGTCAGTATGTCTGTCTGTCCTGTCAGGGAGCACATCAGCTGTGTGCTTTTTGCTGGGGAGAGCTGTGGCTGTGCATCAGTACACCTTGCACAGATTTGAAGAACGCTTCGAAGCAAGCTTTCTTCTTTTAGTCGTGTATAAGTCAGTATGAATCTTATTCATACTGAGTCCAGTTATTTGAAGGGGCAGTGTCGCCCCATGTGCAATGAAATATACGAAATGGACCTGCCTGTATTGTATTTCAGCTTCTCAGAAAGACCAGTGCAAATGTCTGTGTAAAAATACACTGAGCTAGAAAGGCCAGTAGAACAGAAACCACCCCGAAGATGAAGGCCTAAACTGTCAGTGTTTACTAAATAAGCATAATTTGACAGCCAAATATGATCCAATAAAAATGGTACTAAGCAAAACACATTTTTATATGTAGGTTGAACATTTGCAGTGTAACAACTGACCTGATGAGTTGTAACACATGCGCAGTTAATTGTAACATTGCTTATTTTTTTTAGTCTTTATTTAACAAGGAAGTCCCTTGAGATCAAAATCTCTTTCCAGTTTCCTTTTCCGTGTGTGAAGGAAGCTGTCAATTCTCATCGTGAATCCACAGTAGACCTACAATTTATTATTAGGCCAACTCAAATTACTACGCACATTTAGCAGTAGGCTACAGTTAAATTTCCTGGTTTAAATTACTTAAACTGATGGGTGCCTTGATAGCCTAGAGGCTCATAGTTGTAGAATCTTCCGCCTGGGAGCCTCATGTCATTCTCCTCTCTCCTCTCTCCTCATTTCTTGTCTACATCTTCACTAGCAACTGTCCTGGTTTTGAATAGAAATAAGTAAAGCATACATGGACTGTGTGTCAAGAAAATATAGTCTATAAAGTGACAATTGCATTTTATATTCTGCTGTAGTCTTAAAAGCAATCTTGGATTCGGAACATTTTTTAAATAGAGGAACAGAAGATAAAATTCCCCAATGCTGGACAGCAGTCATAATTACCCATTTTATTTTATTAGTGGCCAGGCTGGATTACAATCAATTTTCATTGTGTCTAAATAACACAGTAGGGTAAATTATTAATAATATGAATAAGTCTTTATTGATATTTCCCAAATACAATCACCACCGATCATTAAAACTGTATTAGAATGACCAGTCTAAGAAGTGTGGAGCCCGTGGCATGTGCACCATCCTGTCTGCTCGGCCATCCCATGTCTCTGACTGGTGATCAACCTCCCCGGTCCTGAAGGAGAAGAGAGGAATAATAGATGGCAAAGTCATAGCTGTGGTTAGTGGGAGAACATAAAATTTAAGATCAAAAGAGAAAATATCACTAAGTGCAAATTGAGCTTTTCATACGCAGAGTCAGACTTTTAGTGTGTAAAACTCTCATGCCTGCGTATTTACTTCTTGTCTCAGGTTGTAACTTTTACATCATTCGGGCCAAACTGGAGACAACAATATGTACAACTGCTAATTTATTTCATAAAAAAAAAAGAAAATTCAATATAAATAGTTCTGTTCTACATTGTCGCCACACAAGGCCAGCTTTTACCAACATTGCAGTGACTGTTTTATACTTCAATGCATTCATTTATGAACACAACTAAAGCTTCATTTTTTTCTCTTTATATACACTGCTGCTGTGACAGCACGACTTGACTAACCTGCAGTGGTATGACAGACTGAGGGCAGAGTAGAGCTCAGGAGTGCTGGGAGTTTGAACTGCTCCTTGATGGAATCCGGAAACAGCAGCTGTCCCTGACTCGGTGGAGGATGGAGTAATGGGAAGACAGCCAGATATGCTGGTGGGCCCCAAACCTGAGAAATCTGGAGCCACATACACACAATGCATTTGGGACTTATGTAGTAAAATTATTTCATTAAAAAAAAAAAAAAAACTCCACCCTGTACTTTAACTGCATACTCACTGAGAGCAGTGCTCTCTCTCCTGTTGTTGCTTGGTGCTCCTTTATTAAACAGAGGGGAGTCACACAGGTACTGCTGCTTCAGGAGAGAGGCCTTCTGTTGCTCAAAATCACGGCGCTGTAGACACAAAAGATAACATTTAAAGAGTAACAAGCAGCCAAGCATGCTTCTTCCATATGAGCAAATAACTGTAAATGCACAATCTGACCTTTGGACAAGGTGCCCCCCAGCCTTACCTTATATAATCTGTGTCTGTGGTAGTTTTAGTAAGTAAGTTTTTAGTTTTTTTAAATCAGCAGGGACCAACAGCATTTATATCTTAAAAACAATGACAATCCGCCTGATTTTCTTCCCACCTCATGGCTTAGTCGGATGGCAGCATCAGTGAAGGACTGCCTCTCCCGTTCAAAAGTCCGCCTCTGATGATGGAGCTCTGACCAGCCCACCTGAAGACGTTCCCACTCTTCCAAAAAGTAGGAATCAGCCAGTTCAGATGGGATAGGTGAGGCAAGGCTGTCCTGCAGGCAGAAACCAAGGAGTGTACTTCTAAGCCTGAGACTAGCAAAAGTTCATATGAGAAAGTGTGTGTGTGTGTGTGTGTGTGTGTGTGTGTGTGTGTGTGCGTGTGCGTGACAATCATACCTGCAGCAGTTGCTGTTGTAATCTGACAAGCTGTTGACTCTCCTTTAGTTCAGTTTCTAGTCGAGCCAGGAGCTTGTCATGGTCGGTTCCAACGCTAGTGTGCCCTGCACAGTCAATAAAAGAATAAAACGCATATTGTAGTTAGACTTGTGTTTGGCAAAAAATAAAAAATGAAGACAAATCTGGGGGAAGCATAATTCTTGCTCTAGTTTTCCTGAAGGACCAGTGTTTAGGATTTAGTGCATCTAACGGTGGAGCTGCAGATTGAACAGAACTGAACACCGCTTGTGCATGTATTTGATGACCTAGAAATGAGAACAGGCTGTAAAGTGATAGAAAGAAATATGCAGTCCGTGGAAGGCGACCTGCTTCTGAAGATAACAGCTCATTCTAAAAAAGGTAACAAAACAATACAATTCTTCTTTAGGTGACCCAAATGAAAACATGGCAATGATTACATTGCATTACATTCATACATACATAAATGTATGTTACACACTGTTCAACCTTAGTGTTTACCTTCAGATAGGACATCATCCAGTCTCTTCTGCACCTGCCTCCAGCTCTGAACCACACCTCCTGTTATATGAACACCAAGCGCCACCTCAGCTTGATCCAGCTTTTTGTCTGCAGTCTGGGCCTCATCCTGAACATCCACCACATCCGACATGGTCTTTAAGAAAGTTTAGACTCATTTTGTAATGTTGAATACTTTTCTTGGATTCAGCATTCTGACTTCCAAGATTGAGAATTCATTCTTGACCTTGGAAACAGTACTCGAGAAAACAAGATCAACACAAGGTCTTTTTAGTAGCTGTTCTGGAGCTTTTGATGTTTTTCAAGATCTTCCTCAGTAGAATGGCTCCTAAATAGACCAGGGGCCTCATGTACTAAGACTTGCGGATTTCCTACTAGAATGTGGCTGTGGGCTACACTGAAAGAGTGAAAGTTTCCGTACGGCACAAAAAAATTTCAGATGTATCAAGAACGTGCGTACTGCAGAATCCCACGCACATTGGTCTTTGTACATCGCAATCAACGTGAAATTGCGCTCCACCTGTCCTGCCTCCTCAAATTACACCGATTTGAATATGCTAATTAGTATATAGGCTAGATTAGTGCTGTCTTTAGGAAAATGGCAAAAGCAAGGAAAAAAAGCATTTTTACGGAGTGTGAATTGGAGGTCTGTGATCGGAGGTAAGCACAGGCAGTTAAATCGGTAGGGGTCGGAGACCGCACGCAGCGGAGTTGAAAAAGAGTGTTCAGATATTGAGACATATCTGCCCATCGCCAGGCCTTCAGGCCACAGGTTGGTGGTCCCTGTTATTAGCGTGTGACTGATATACTGTACTGCTTTGTATTGTGAAAGGGTTACGTACGTAAGATCGTGACGCCACCACGGCTCCCAGTGAGTGCTAGTTGTTGTTGTGTGTGAGCCATGCTGATGAGACGGCAGCACATCGGTCCGCCTTTATTGTTAACTGTTAAATAAATATGCCAAGAGGCTAAAGACAATTCAAGTGTCAACTTCCTCCATAGCGCAGTAGAGGACTGCGCGCTGCAGTAAATAACCCCTTAACACAAAATAATCTGCAAATTATTTAAAATTGTGTAATGCTTGATTGATTGTAAATAATAATGACTTTCGCATGCAGTGCAACTGTCCCGAGAGCAATTGTAAATTTCGGCTATGCATTCATGCATCGCCTGTGAGTGTCGCCCAACTGACAACTGACATTTAAATATGTACGTACGCCAGCAATGAAGCTGCCGTGGAGGACCGCACAGTCTCACGTTCAGTTCACTTTTAGTACATCCGAACGTGACGTGAACAATTGTCGTACGCACGGAATTTTGTGCGGTACGCAACGTTAGTACATGAGGCCCCTGGTTGGGCAAACTCTGCTTTGACTCCATACCCAAGAATATTTGATACAATTGAAAGCTCTGGAACAGCTACAAAATATACCTTGTGAGAAGATGGCGTCTCTCCCTGTTGAACCATGTTTTCATAGAGTTTGAGAAATTACTCTTGGGCCCCATTGTCAGGCACCGCCTAAGTTAAAAGGCCTCTCTTGCTTTACTCACATGCTCCATGTCGACTCTGAGTGCATTAAGTAAAGTTGGTGAGGCTGTGACGCAGCTTCATAGCCTCCTGAGCTCTGCTTCTCTGCGCTCCAGCATCAGGCGGAGAGTTGCCTCTTCTTTTCTGCAAGTGGAGGAGCGAGCAAGGATTAAAAAGGAGGTGGAGAACGCGTTTGAAAGCGATGATTATATCAACCAACAATACTTTGCGGTAGACTTGAATGATTTGATGGCTGTTCTTCTTTTGCCTCGACCTGCAGGTGAAAGTTCAACACCTCTATGGCTGGCGATAGAAAAATGCAAGATGTAAATGTTGAGTGGTTTCAGTTAATATTTAATATATAAGCAAATAGCTGGGTGTGAAATGAACTTCAACACATGACAAAGTGAGTCTCACAGGGCCCTTTCTCCTCTGTGTCTGTCAGTCAGCTGTGACAGTCTCTCCTTCAATCTGTTGCTGTGCTGCTCTCGACGCCTCAGCTCTGCCTCCTGCTGGTTACTCCGCAGGCTGCAGACGAATGCACTGGCAAGACAGAACATGTGATTTTGAGACAAGGTAATAGTGACAAAAAAGTGTGTTCAGATGTGAAATATTTACTGCATTCAGTGCATACAACTTCTTTTTGCCCGTTCACATCTCAGCATTTCCTGAAGCCTAGCACATGCTCATCCATCTCTTTTAGTTGCTCCTACAAGATAGAGGTTTATTTACACCAGTGACAACACTAATTTATTAATTCCCTTTAAATTACACCCCACCCTGAGTGAGTCTCCCTTGCTCTCTGTGCTCCTTCCTTGTCGCCCACCAGGAGCGCTGTGGAGAGAGGTCATTTTAGAGGGTTGGGGCTTGGGGATCCCTAAGCAGTAGGTGTCTGTAGTGGACAAGAGAAACAGGTAGAAAGGGAGCAAAGTAAAGGACAGATTGATGGTAAGTGGTGTGACGTTTCTGCGTATGTTCCATCCTTCTAGTAAATGGTGACAGTAATACCTGAGCACTCCGTTTTCTTCCAACTCTTCTCTTCCCCAGACCTGGAAGCCATCTGGGGTGCCATATTCACATAATAGCAACAAGGAGGACATTTTACTCACATGCAAATGTAATG